ATTCATTCCTCCTAGTTCTCTTAAAGCAAGAGGGGAGACACTTAATCCTAATATTTGAGGAATAATAAAAGTACATTTTTCATTATTTGCACTGCCCATCCCGCCTAGAAAACACAAACAGAGTTTCATGTACATTCCTAATGACAAACATAAAAAGACCTTCCGAAAAGTGTTTTTAACAACAAAATTACTCTCACGATAAGCAACATGCCGTGTGAAATTTATAAATCCAAAATAAAAAACTCCCAAGTCCATACTAATACAAAGTACGGAGTAATACCTTTGACAGGTCTGCAGCAAATTCATCTCCTAGTATACACTTGATGATGTCAGTAGAAAGGTTTCTACCAAACCATATAACAAACCGAAACCCATCATCATAGATATAGAGACCTCCTACAGCTAAGCTATCTATGGTAAGTGGAAGCCTTTTCAACATGTTCTCAGACTCACCGGCCAAAGGAGATGTCTGAAAATGAGAAAGTAATCAATTAGGAAAAGAAACACAACTAAAGGGAAAATGCCCTTCCTCGCTTTAACTTAAAATATCAAGAAGAATTTGTTCAAATTGATAAGCACCTACCAAAAAGGTAAATAACAAAAGAGGAGAAAAAACTTACTCTCAAAAGAAACTCATCTACACGAATCAGGTTAGGATACAAAAGTTTCAACAGCTTTGCAACTGGCAATGCCATCATAGTAAATCCGGAAGCACAGCGTTCATCTAGTTGCACATCTGAATAACCACCTCTTAGGGGTGTGGACTTGGACAAAGCTAATCCATACAAAGGCAATAATTTCAAAGATTCTGGATATATCATCCTTCCTCCCATGCGATGTTGTACAGCATACAAATTTCTATATTCTCGGAGGGCTTTAACAATTCTTAATAGAATAGAACTTCGAGCCTCTTCCAATTTAGTGGAGAGAGATTTTTCAATTGCTGCACATGAAAATATTATTTGAGAGATCAAGAACCACTTTAATTACTTACAGTATAGATAAAGAAGAAACAAATCCAACAACAAAAGAGACACTTTTTTACCTAGCCTAGAGAACACTGATACAATGGCACCAATATCAGCCAGACGATACATATCTCCAATTTCTGAAACCACAGGTGACACTGCAGTTTGTACCCTAATACGTCTTTCTCCAGATGAAGATGTGTATCTTTGCACTATTAAGGACCCCTGAATTTTATTATTCCCAGAGAGGAGAAATCTAGACACCCTATATATTCCAAAACACAGCAGAAATTGCATCTCATGCAAAACTGTCATCAATTATCTAGACCATAATTACACTTGTTTGCATCCATGTTGCATGTCCCACTAATTTATGACAGGCTATTTCAGAATGTACAAAAAATGTTTGACCAAAATCTCTGTTGCTAATATTGTCAGACTTTAGTACTCTCACTTTCACAAGTCAACATTATAGTCCCATAAAATGACATTAGTTAAAGCACTTTATTATTGTTTTTAAATTTTGAATACATAGCAAGTTATAAACTGTTTAATTCCTAATAAAGTAAGAATTGTCCTTATTATAACTGTCACCTAAATAGGGAAAGGAGGCAAAAGAATAGACATAAAACTGTATAATATTGCACAGTACAGCATATAGCTTATATCGCACGCACACAACCAGAGATTCCCATATCTGGAAGGATACAGCAGTGCAACTTGGAAGTATACAGTCTGGGTTGTTAGCAATGTTTCTTCAAGTGATAACTGCATCGCATAAGCTTTATCACAGTCAACAGCCGGAAGTGCTATTAGATCTGTGGATCTGAGCATAAAATTCCCATGATAAGTAGTGAAACGGACACCTTGAACCAAAACAGTGAAAAAATTAGTTTCTAAGTGGAAAAAATAAATAAACACAATTGATTGATCAGTATAATTTCCCATTGATTCACCCACATGACCTTGCAATTTAATTGGTTAGAAATGACTTACCCTTTCCACATCTGATCCGCATGACAGCCTCCCAAGCAGTCTCCCTTGTTAAATCTCTTGTCAACTCCTGGCTTAATTTATCTTTATGAATAGCAGCTTGGAAACTTGGATAATGATAAACCTGACCACCAGTATACTTTGACAGAGTCCCTATAACATGATGGAATAATAGCTTATGAAGACCACATGCCAAAGAAATACTTAATAAAGTCAACATTGGACATAAAATCTCCATTACAGCCAAGCTGGAAATGCTACTAAAGGATATAAAGACAAGGAAAGCTATGTATCTGCATATAATTTACTCCCTTTATGGCACTGTGTTTTCCCATTTCTCCACTTTCATATGTCCAACATGTTTGTCTCATATTATGTTTAGTCATATTTGTGTGGTTCAAAATCATTCACTTATATACTCAATATAAACCACAAAATTCCCCTGTCCCTTAATGTGTGTAGTTGTCCTAAGTTAGTTGAACAGAGTGTTGGATAATGGGTACATGCATCACACAAATTAAGGATGGCATGCGTTTTAGTTCACTTTTCATAGAGACCTCTCATGTTCTTGAAAACATGACACGATGAATGAAGTCTTAATGCTAATTAAAACCCAACCTTCAGGGACAAAAGCAAATCAAATGAAGTTAAAAAAAAATATGTTTCTATTAACTATAAAGAGCTAATGAAGTTTTCAAGAGAAGAAAAAAGATAAAAGAACAAGATACTTTAACTAGTATGCAGTAATGCATAAAACCACCGCTGTACTAATGGTTGATACACCAAGATGCAAAATTAATTAAGTAGGAAAATGTATAATAATGGGGGGAAGCAAAACATGTAGCTAACAAAGCTTTATTGTCTCAGAAATGACTCCTTTATCCACTCAATTTAGAAAGAAATTGCCATTACCTAAGGTTGCTACATCTGTATACTTGTCACTAAATGTATATACATTGACAGCTATTTGATACTTCGTGAAATCAGCAGCCATCTGTTTATAAAAAGAATCTTCAGGTATTCTCGTTGTATGTTCTTTATCAGATCCATATATACGAGGATCATCTCCTCTTAGTCTCAAGCGACCAACACCCAGGGAAGGAAGAGTGCTCTGAAATATCAGCAACTTGCCACCAAGTCGATTCTAGCAGCAGGTAGAGCATAATAATATTTAAACATTGATTCATTCTAAAGGGAGGAGGTAAGAAACTGTTATTGGATATTAAAATATTTCTCCACAGCCGAAAAAGATAAAGTAGATCATTCAATCTAACATTAGCTCCATGGAAAAAAAGTCTTGTTTGACCAATGCATGGTGAAAACACAAATTCAAACATATTATTACACAGTACACAGTAGCTCATACAGTATACAACTCTCGCATGGTATAAATAAGAAGATAAACTCAAAAAGTATGAACTACGAACTTATTAAGTGATATCAATAACATACATCATACATATGTTGCCACTTATTACAGTTGCAACACATAATTTAACATGTACGACATTTTAATTTTGATAAGGTACAACTATCATAAAATATGAATCAAAATTTTATTTATAAAATTTATTTGATGGTTCAACTAAATTAATGCAAATGACTCTTTATACCAATTGAAATGAAAAGTAGCTTGGCCTGATCAAACAGGACTATTTATTTTCTAAGTTCTTTTTTTATTTTTACTAGAGTCGTACCCATACGCTGCACGGTAAGTTGATTGTTCCTCAATGTGAAGAATGAATTGCAAGTCAAATTATTGTTTTTAAATGTTACTCACATCGTCTCAAAGTGAACTTTTTACTTTCTTTTTTTGGATGTCCCAAAATAAAATTTAAAGTTTAAACTTTCTCTTCTACATAAATTTCAATCACACCTTTCACTTTTCAAGGCTTTTCTTAAACACCATGTGTCAATGTATAAAATTCATTCGTGAGACGGGGATGAAATGGGGATAAGTTCTCTAGCATTTTAAGTCAAAATGCATTTCACAATAACATAATACTCTGTATTTTATAACTATGTCTCATTTTTGGCACGGTATTAAAAAATTTAATATATTTTTTCAAAACAATATTTTTTGTTGACACATATTTTGTATGTGCTCATATTTGCTTGGACTAAAAATTAAGTATATTTAAAATGGACACGAGCCCAATGAGTAGGCCTGTGTTTTCCCTAATCTACAAATATCGTAGTTGTTTCTACTGTTAGCTTTCATTTGTACTGTTCATTGATGCAACATTTTAAGGCAGGATTATTGTGCCTAAATTCCTCCTGCTTTTGTACACACACACACAAATATATGTATTTGTATGTATGTATGCATGTATACACATACACACACATATATACATATATAGGTGTGTGTGTGTATAAACTCCCTCCGTCCCCCAATAGATAACAATTTTTTACTCTAACCTCTCGATAACTTTTGTTTATTTATGTGATTTTATTGATTATTTGGTAAAAAAAGTATTCTGGCCGCCTCATGTTTTCTAAAACTTTTGATGTTTTTTATATGTAAGTTGTATTTTTAATTTCTATACCAATTTGTAAATAAAATGATTCAAAAAGCACAGGATTTGACTTGTAACTCCAAAATTTTGGGATGGAGGGAGAATATATAAAGACACTTATTTTTTTTCTTATGCGGGGTGGGGCAGTGGAAAGAGTACCATAAATCAGGCTCAAATGATGAAGTACATTGCTAAAAGAAGTCTACCCACCATAACCATGAATACAGCTCTCAGAGCAGGACCAAGAGCTGATTCCACATTCACATTATCCTGAAACATAGAAGGCAAGCTATCTAGAAATGTATCAATGACGTCCCTGCATTCTGACAAGTTGACAAGCAAGTCATCTGGCAGTGGGACAAAAGTATCTTCAGGATCTGACACAACCAGCATTTGAGGCTGTGTCAATGACGACTGAAAAAAAATGTGATTAATTAATTAGTGAAGGAAGTGCCTGAGGATATTGAGAGAATGTCATGCAAATCACTCACCTTCATATTGTAAAAATGAATGGTACTGTCATAAGTAATAAAACCAATTTGTGTTCTCGGATACCCAGGCAAGCTATCCAAACACTTCTTGATGGTTTGTGCAATAACCTGTAACACATTGTTTATTTAAAATACACTCAATCTAATTACAAAAGGATGTGAATGATATTTTATACTCCTTCCATTCTAAAATATTTATCCAATTTGACTTTTTCATAGACAAACTTTGATTATCAATTAAATAAAAATGTGTTACATTAAGGTAGTGTTTGGTTGGGGATGAAATATTTTTCCAGAAAATTTCAATTCTGATTTCCTACGTAAAACAAATGGTAGGAAAATATTTTCCCGGGAAAATATTCTCTCTAAACAAGGGGAAAATGATTTCTGTTTGCTTTCAAAAATAAAAACTCATTCACTCTCCACTCTAGCCCCTGCCCCCACTCTTGTC